TCACTGCAGATCAAGGACTACACTATAGAGTTACAGCCAGCAACTCAATACTCTCATTTTTCTGATTTTAACTGTCAGAAAACAGCAGGGTAAAGTTTAAAGGTCTCCTACTTGTGTTTATCTCAGCTTTTAGAGGACCTGTATATCAGGTAGGCCCATTACAAGTACGCGACATGTCTCTTGGCAAACTGGAACAGTTTTCTTATTTAAATTTGGGAAGAAAATTAGGAGGATAGATTGTTTTCAGTGCAAACTCACTGTGTACAACTAATTTTGCTATTCAGCAGTTGTGATGTAGACTTTTTTATTGATATGGAAAGTCATTGACAAAATTTAACACTACTGCTTTGTATCAGCTCTGTACTCTGTATTTGAAAATCTCACTTTCTCCTTTCCCCTCTTTACTGCAATTTTGGAAAAATCTTTGCAAGTACTAACTCTACAAATATTTTACATAAAGTCTACAAGTGTATAGAGAAGAAAGAATGAGAGATTTCAGCTTTACGGTTTATGGGCACCAGACTAAATCCCATGTGCAAATAAATGAAGTAGCTCTCCTCCTACCAAAATGAAACAAAAATTGGATCCAACTTTACTGACACTGGAGAGCTACAGGCAGCCATCACACAGTAAGATAGAGCCAGCTCCACATCCACACCCGTGGCAGTAACTGCAGCTTTAAATTAAATACACACAGACTGTAAAAATCAAGCACTGTCATCCATTAAAATAACGGCTGCCGTGCTCCAAGGGTTCCAGGCACTCCCTGGCAGCTCATCCAGAGGCAGCTTCCCTGCAGAAGTCATTAGAAACACCAAGTAGCAGCAACCCTCGTTTTTGAGGCAGAAAAAATGAGTCACCAGGCAAGCGCTGCTGAGGTTCAGAGGGTTGTAATGGGAAGGAAATTTTCCAAGCTCATCTTAGATGACAATCACAGCCCTGGCAACTAACCTTCACCTTTGGTTTTGCTTTCACAGGGAGACAGAAACTTGGTAGCTGCAGCCTAGGAAGCCTTCTCCACTCATTCCAACCTACACTGCACCACTGTCCCAGGGCTGAGCTGTCCACAGCATGTCCACAGTGACATGGAAACAGGATCACAGGGCTCAAACACCACTCAGACAACAGCAGCAGCCATGTGACATTTCACTAATTCCAATTTTTTCATGAGTTCTAAGTTCAACGAATAAACCATTTGGGCTACTTGGCATTTGAAGTTACCTTCCAGTTAACCAATCATCCAGACACCCAGGACATGACATCTAGGAATTTAGTCCTGCTGTCCACCCATACCTGTAGGCCACCTACAGTTCTACATGTGCCATGCCAAGATCACATCTATGCTTGCATTCGCCTGCATTTTGCCACCATCTGGAAGCAGCAGCCAATGTGTTAAAATAGCCATGAAAATGAGGGGAGGGGGGAATAAAACTGCCCCCTCAGCATTACATAAGGAGGTTTTAAATGTCAAAGGCTCTGATGAACCACCTGCCTTCCAGCCTCCATCCAGCAATGGGACAGGTAGTTGGCATTCCATGCCGTGTTTGTCAGACTTGTCCATCTGCATCAAATCTGGCACTTGTCACAGAAGACACGGTCCCAGCTGGGCCATGTCCAACCACAGATCAATTCCAGCAAAGCCCCATGGCCGACAGCAGAGCTCTCCCACTTCAAGCCCACCTGTGTGTTATGGAAAGTAACAGCAGCAGCAAGAAGCTGGAGATTTTGCCACCTGGCCACGCTCCTGCTCCCCTTGGGCAGTGGCAGGTGTTGTGCTTCCCTTCTCTTCGACCACCAGGAAAAAGCACAGAGTAATTATTATTATTATTAGTGTTACTATTATAACACTGCCTTACACAGTGTCAGCACATGGCACTACCAACACAGTCATAACAAGCTATAACACAGATTATGTTATATAATGCAGACACGTGACACATACCATGAACACGCTTTTGGGAACCCTTTCAGCCTTTGCTTCTATGGGAAACTTAACCACTCTGGAAAAACAACTGCTATAAAGCTGTCTGACATCCAGGTGATCACTGTGAGGACTTTAACGAGACACCTCCAGGACTGCTGCCTGTCAATAGCAAAGCTGAGCTACTCCAGGCCCCACCTTCTCCAGGTTCAGCCCATGATACCACTGATAGCACCAGTAAGGTGAGAAAACAGCTCCTCACACAGCTACAGGCAATGGTGAAATCATCAGCTGTTAAAAAGCAATGTAAATCCCCAGGAGGTTGGATTTCAGCCCTGGTAATTAAGGCAGGCTGGAACAGTTTAAAACAGAGGTCAAGTTTTTAAGTGTATGCATACTTTCACATTTGTCTGCTAGCGTCAAAACAACAGGAGCCAGGAACAACCTTTTTGGTCACAGAAAAGTTAAAATTTAACTCAAAATATATAAAAGGCAGTTGGCACAGAATTCTCACCCTCACCAGACCACACAGATCTGACTGTGGAATCTGATGCTTTTTCCTGCTTGTGAGCTCTCCCCACAGTTATCATCATGTTCTCCCTCCTCCCCCTGCAGTCCAGCTCAGGCTCCCAGGGCTGCATAACTGTCCCAGAGACCTTTCCCAAGCCCACGGTTTCCTTGGATACAGATCTGCATATCCAACTAAGGGGCACCTCGCGAGTGTGTGAAGACCAGAAAATGCTGTAGGACACTGCTCCCTGGCTGTGAGGGTGACTGACAGCACAGGGCATGGGGATTCCTGCAGAGAGAGCAGGGTCTCCTCATCATCCCAGTCTTTCCAGAAAAACCCTTCAGTAATTTACAAACAGCAGAGTAACTGGGTCAAACCAGTCCTCCCAGACAGAAAGTCCAGGAAAAGAACAGATGTTTTGTCCAGAGAGCTTGTTTGTTTGGGGTTTTTCAAATGATTCTATGAAGTTTTGGCCAGAGGTAAAATAGAGACCTTGTGTTTCATAGTATCAAGCACAGTATTTTCCTCCACATGGCAGGGCACATTGGCAAAAGAAAACGTTCAACAGGAAGAAGTTCTCTCACTCTAAAGAACGTTAATTTCATAAACGTTCTTTTCTTCTTTAAAGACTGCAATACTTCACTACACCTATTTTATAGCATTTAGTTGGCCTTTTTTTCCTGAAACTCCTTTCAAAATCCCAAGAACAACCAAAAGGAGAAATTGTCTTCACACTTTTTGTTTGGCTTCAAGAGGGTCTCTGAAGACATTTTAAACTCATAAAAAGACCCAATCAGCAAGACAGCAAACACAAACAAATCAATGTCAGTGTTACTCCAAACAAAGGTCATCACAGCCCAAGATTTTGCACATCCAGCTATGCACTGCCCCTTACAAAATGCTCATCATCGCAGCATTTGAAGCTGAAAATCCCCAATAAAACTTGTAAACAGAAAAGAGAAAGGCATCCCATTTCCATTCACCAAACAGGATGTTTTCTTTATCAAGACACACTTAATCTCAATTCTCAGGCTCCTTGAAACAGGACAGAAAAGACACATATCCACGTCACTGCAGCCACAAGTTCTAACCCAAGTGTAAGCTCTCCTTCAAGGCACTAATTAAGATATGAAAACACTGAGTAAGGAAACAAAAGTTAAGAGTGGCGACTCCATTCTCATCACAAAGATCCAAACAGAGCAAGAAGTATGCCAGCACAACTGTAAAATCTGAAGGGGAGCACTCTCCAAATAGCCTCTCATTCAAAACATTCTTGTTGATAAAAGAGAAAAAAAACACAAGAAAACAGCTGTTTGAAGAAAGAGCTTCCCATTGTTAAGTTTCCTGCTGGCTCTTTTAAAAACCCAAGCCACCATGACATGATTGCTTTTCCTCGGATCTACCAAAAGACACACGTTGTGCAAGACTTTCAAAGACAAAGAAACCAAACACTGTTTAAAGACCATCACGCATGCAGCGGGCTCACTTCCTGCTGGAATGAGGCTTGGAGCTTGTGACAAGATACGATCCCGGATCAGTAAGACTACCACATACCACACACAAACAAATAAGGTTTTCCTTGTTTGCCTTAAAAGACTAACACCAAGATCAGCACAGAGGAAGTGGCTGTGGGGTCACCACTGCTCCCATGAAGTGCTGGCTGCCTCACTCCGGGGCTGTATTTGCACATCACCCTCTTGGGTGCTAGGAAGCAACGCGGAGCATGTGGCAGCCTCTGCCAAACGCCATCCCTCGGGCACTGCCACATCCCAGTGACCACCACCACGTTCCTCTAGCTCTCCACCCAAGCACACGTTCGACAACCACAGCAGCGGGCTGGAGGAGTCTTCTGTGCTGCTGTCCCAATGTGCTCTGGCACACTTCCACTCGGGATTTACATCTACCGGGGTTTCCAGAGGTGTATTGCTGTGCTTGCGAGAAGTCTCCTGAGTAACAGTGAGCCAGCAGAACAGAGATAACAAGACACATTTCCTCGGAACTATCCTAACTATGCGTTTTGCCCAAGCCAAACTATGGGGATTCCAGCCAAAAAACAAACAACAAAAATATCGAAACTTGTGTCACTTCCTTCCTGCGCTTGGGGAGCGGGACGGAGCCGGGACAGTCTCGTCTTGAAGAAGACGACGCGGCCGGCGACTCCTGAGTGGTCGTCCGGGAGAAGCGGCAACGCCGAGGGCATAGAGGAAGCCCCGGCCGGGCGGGGGTAAACGGCGACGGATGGAGCGAGAGCTGCGGAACCCCGATTACCGGGAGCCGCCGCCAGGCTCGGACGGGAGGGAGTTAAGACCCGCCGGCTCACAAGGGACTCTAAGGCTTACCCGAGGACACCTCGGCCCTGGGGCGAGCAGCGCCAGAAGGGCGGCAGTGAGGGCGAGGGGCGTTGTTGGCGCCGACCCTGGCGCCCGCTGGGACACCTCCGCCCACGGGGAGCCCGAGGAACCCTGCCACGGCCCCCAAAAAGCGGCCGCCCACGGCAGCGTCCCAGCCATCCCGCCTCCGGCCTCCTGGCACTGCCGGGAGCCGCCGCCCGCCCCCGCCGCTCCTCACCGTGCGGCTTAGCAGAGTGTCGGGGTCTGCGGGCTCGCACAGCTCGCTCAGCTTGCGGTCCCAGTGCAGCAGCAGCGGCGGCTGCTCCCCGCCGCTCTCGCACACCTCCATAGCCGCCGCAGGCACCCGCACTGGCTGGTCGATCTGTCCGTCCGCCGCCCCGCTGCCGGCCCCTGCCCCGGGCCGCGAAGCCGCGCTTTCGCCCCCACCCCGGCGCGTTGCCACAGCCGGCGGCAGCGCACGGGCGTCAGCCAGACGAGTCACCCCCGCCCGGCCACGCTCCGCCCGGCCACGCTCCTGACGCTCCGCCCGCCAATCGCGAGCGAGTAGCGCCGGGCGCGGGCCAATGGGCGCGTGGACCCCGAGCGGCCGCGCTGCCATGAATGGGGGTGTGGCGCGCGCTGCTAATGGCGCGGCGGAGCGGGAGGCGCGGCAGCCAATGGGGCAGCGACAAGACTGCGGCCGGCGTGCGCCGCCCCGCCCCGGCCTCAGGGAGGGGACCCGCGGCGGCCCCGGCACTGCGGCTGGCTTGGCAGGCTGGGGAGAGACGGGCCGGGGACAGCACGGCCCAGGGTGCCTGTTCAGTGAAGACAGTGAACGCACCCTGTGAAAACCAGAACTTCACAGCTCTGAGTAGCCCCACTGAGGACGCTGGTGCTTGCTCCATCGGTCCCAGAGCGCTCATCAACTGGCGGTAAAAATAATCCTAGGCAACGGGAAATGATGGTATTTTAAGACTTGTGTTCTTGCCAAGCCGGAGCAACACTGACATTCCATTGTTCTTTAAAAGTGAAAAGGTGCCAAATATTTAAGATTCAAAAAGCTGGGCATTCCTCAGTGCTTTTCTGCAGCTCCCGGAACTCAGGCACGGCCGGGTGCTGTGGGGTCAGCTCAGCACTGATTGACATTTTCAGGCTGGAAATGTGTGCAGGACCCAGAATTGGACTTCCTGGCATGTCTCTCGCTCCTAGACTTCCTTTTAGACATCACCTCTTGTGGCAGCCACTTTTATCCACTCGCAGAGCCAGCGCCTGTGCAGCACGAGGCATCCAGTCGTCCCTCAGTAGAGCCCAGACCAACCCTCTGAGGAAAACAAAGCCAGAAGGATTGCCCAGCACCTAATAGGCACAACAGCAACAAAATATAGGGAAAATTATGGTGATTTCACCAGGTTTGTTCCTTTAAAATTTATTAAACTGCTGGAGTTTGATTAGGAAAAAAAAAAAGTGTAACAGAAGTTAACACTACCAAAGATCTCCTGCAAAGATTAGTTATTTTAAGTTTGTTGTTGTGAAAGAAGCCAGTTTGATATTTGCCTTCAGCAGCACAGAAAACATCTGAAGCCAAACCTAAAGCCAAATTACCAGTGCTTGAATTGCTACCTTCCACTTTGGCAAGCCCAAGCAGAGATACAAGTTTCTTGAGTCCTGACACTGCCAGGCACTGTTATCAAAGCTATTCCATTGTGCCAGTCCAGGGATGCCGACTGTGAAATTTGTAAAGGTCAGTTCCTTATTCAGGAACCTCCGTGTTTTAATTGGATTTGTTCTTACTTTTAAAGCTTTTGTGGCTTTGTGGCAAAAGGCTCTCCATCACCCTGCTGGCTGAGACTAACCTTCTAAAATCACTGCTGTGACCAGATAATTGCTTGGGACTGGGGCACTAAATGAATGCTTTGCCCATATGAGAAGTCTAAAGGAAGACCCATGTTTGCCTTGTAAACCAGCAAAATGAAAGTCACCTTAGAAGAAGGTGCTCTTGACTGGGTGAGTGCAGCTTCCTTTGCTGAGCAAGGGGCTCCCAAGGACTGGTATTTGACCAGGAGTACTGGGCTGAACTTGCTCACCCTAACACATTACTCCGGCAGAAATATTTATTTAAGGAAGAAGTTGCACAGACACATACTTCTGTCATTCTCCCTTGTGTAAAGCACTCATACAAAATTAGGCACCCTGGGTAAACAGCACACTGCTTTTCTCAGTGGTTCCCACTATTCCTGCACCATATAAAGTTGTGTCCCTCTCCCCTCTGCACTTCCCCAGGAGCTCTCTCTTTGTCATTGGTACTGAGGCACAGTTGCTGCTGTGGGACACAGAGCTGCTGAGAATTCATAAGTATGCTGGAAGATTTCTTTTGACCACAGAAATATTTTGATGCACAAAACTATCCATTTCTGTAACATAAACATAAACATGAACATAAACATAAGTAACTGGGCATCCTGCCCAGTTACTGACACATTATTAAAATTAGTGTTCAAGGCTACATGTAAATTTTGAGCTTCAACATCTCTGAAACCGTTACCCAAGACTTTGTAAATAAATGTGACCAATTTGCTTTGCATGGTGGCAGCCAACAGCATAGAGACCTGATATGTCTGTGCTGCAGCACCAGTTCTTCTTGGGAAAGGAAATCTGAAATAGCAAAGTTCTTCTAGAGACTGGCAGCACATAGAAGGCACCAAGGAGGAAGAGACAAAAGTGGAGGAAAGTAATCCTTTCCAGAGAATATTAATTATTCAGTGTGCTGATACAACACGTGGGACAGCAGTCTAATGTGTCACATGTTGCTGCCCACAGACTGACACTACATCAGAAAACAGGCACTGGGGAAAGCACCTTAAAACCAACAAGAACATGATACAGACACAGCTCTCCTAACTTTATCCCATACTCCCTGGAGATTTAAATGTTAGATTTCAATAGTTACCAGCCTGCTGAAAATCAAGGCTGTTTCTCCACACTTCATTACTTTTCTCTTAAAACAGCTATAATAGTATTTTGAAGTTCCAACTCAAGTAATTCTGAGAGCATTTTTAATTTCTTCTTTTGTATAAGACACTTTCCTCACCCTACTTTTCTGAAGCGGGTTTGAACTCGCTCTGTAGCACAGGGGGAGAGTGCAAAAATTGACCAAAAATCTACAAGAATATAAAAGGATGAGGAGTTATTGTCTGCACATACAGAGAAGAGGAGAGCTCACCTTTTGTTTGCTGAGAATTCTGTTCCTTTCTGCAAGGAGCCAAAAGCCCACGCAGAAAATACACATAGAAAACCTACAGAGAAAACCAAACCAGCTAAGAAAGAGGAGGCTGCTAAGGCAGAACTCCAAACAAACACTACTTACTTAAAATATCAAAGAACAAAGCAAGCAACAATACAAAGCCTGGCAAAGGAAAGGTGTTCTCTTTCTCCTTTCAGGTCTGGGTTACAGAAGCCACAATTTCTGCGACCACATCATTACTCAGTTCTCAATCAGGTCAGCTGCACAAAGGTTCATTAAATATTTACAGGTGACATTTTTCTGACTTGTGACAACCAGGATCAAGATAACCATCCATTTTGTACAGCCGTTCTGTTCAAATCGGTTTGAGAAACCAAACAGCAAGGAAAGAACAAGCAGCAACAGAGCCCACAGGATGAAAAGTGCCAGGTTTCTGACCAGCTACCAATAAAAATCTTATCCCTTGAAAGCAACAGAAAACAGCCACAGCTAGAGATTACTTCAACAAATTCAGAACCACAAATTTCAGGTCTAAGAATATACAGAATAAACGAGAAGTCAATTTCTAATCACGGTAGTTATTGGAGATTTTTGTGAAATGGCCAGATATGGTAACGAGCTGAATTTTTATGTGGGACTAAGCAACAAGCAGAAGAAAGAAATCTCACACACACTGACACACGTTGCCCACAAGAGGATATCTCAGGAGAAACCCTGTGAAACTTACTTCTTTGGGTGTTGTGCAAAGACTTTACTTGCACTACCCAGTATCTGGCAATGCACTAACAAAGTAAATTTCATGTGTAAATGAGATTTAAATCACACTGCTGTGCTGAGAAGCTCACCATTGCCAAGATAAACAGACACCAAGTCTTAATTTGTACATTCAGGCACTCTCAACTACTCGGCAGAAAGGCTTCTACCACAGAAATTTTGGAGTTAAAAATAGAAGGTGAGCTTCTGAATAGTAAAGTTTTCTTCCCACAATCCTGGCATTTTATTCCTTTTCTAACACATGAAAAAAAGTGGGACAGCCAGCCCTGAAGAGATCCTGTTACTAAACCCACATAATTGGTACACTCACAGAAGTACAGTCTCCCTTTACCGGAACCTTTGCTCTTGTACCCAGGGGCTTCTCTAAGCTCTGATTCAGCTTTCCTGCCTTTGCAATTCCTTCCCCTCTGGAAGGGTTTCACCAGGCCCCACAAGCACGGCTGGTCTTGAACTGAAGTGTTACCTGTAATTGGGAACACGGACACAGTGCCCCAACCCCACAGAGCACAGAGGATAATGAGAGAGCTATTTTGGTGAAGTGGGACTTGAATTCTTTGGCTGAAGCACCTTTTCCTACTTCTTCATGCCTCATAATTTCTGTGGACAGAGCAATTTCTGAAGATTAATGAGAATCTCTTCCTTCTTTGCTGTGTGACACAAGCACAATGCTGTGGTGTCTTCCTCAAACCAGCCACAAAAACAAGCAGAGGAGAAGCGTGTTTTCTACACATTACAGCAGGCTGACAGAAATAACTGGGTGCCAGGGAGCTGCCTTACAGACCAGACTAGCTCTGCCTCAGAGCTGTTCAGAAAGGCTCCAAATACTTGGTGAACATGCTGATATTTTAAAAAGAAGTCACCCATATTTATCTTTTCCAATTATCTCCATAAATACATAAAATAAATTCCTTGTTAAGGTCAAACATTTCTGAATATCCTGGTTGATACAGATTTGCCTCATCAGGTTTACACAAGATGTTAACACAGACAAGAAAAAGCAGAATGCCATTTTCCAGGGGACACTGTCAGAAAACACTCATTGCCTAGTTATAAACAAGGAATCACTGTATTTCACTCACATGATACCATTCCCATTCCATTTCCAAGTACCTATCCATAAAAAAAACCAGATGCTACAGGAATGCTGATTTCACACAGGATTTTCTCATAAATGAAATTACTTAGTTACAGATTAACTTTGCCCCAGCACAGCAGAGCAGACATAAGAGATGAACACACAACAAGCCTTTGCCACTGGTTATTTTTGCTGTAACTAAGGCAATGCAGAGTCATTTGGGAAGGCCTATCCTACTGCCAAGCTGTGCTGAACATTCAGCACCCTCCTTCCAGTGCGTGCTCAAAGTCAGTGTGTGTTGTCTTTGTAGCAGGTCAACCTTTGAAAGTGTACTAGCTACTTTAAATAGAACTGGAAGGGCAAGAAAACTCAAAGTTCTTGAGCAAATATTTTTCCTTGCTGGCACCATTTTCTAATATCTTGTGCTAGCTCTGCTAGCACGACTTGAGCCAGGGGCAGAGATTAGCAGGAGTCATGCAGCAGTTGCAGAGAGTTCTGGCAGTTCTGGCCACTCCAGGGTGGTGGTGAAGGGAAGCCTTGCTGCTACTTCTGCTCTGAGTCTGGAGTGGAAAGGCAGCTCTGAGGCTCCAAAACAGACACTGCCATGAGCTCCACCACCACAGCAGAGTGCAAACGAGGTGACCACTGAATGAACAGAAGCTCAGCATATTAGCTCAAGGCCTCCTAGCAGAAAGTTCAAAACAAACCCCAGCTTTTGGTAAACAGGAAAAATTGGTGTGGACCAAGCTCAAATTGTACTTGGATCAGTACTGTGCAAGAGCACCATCACAATTCTCACAGCAGTACAACAGGCTCAGATTAAACAAGTAGTCAAAAGAATTAAAGTCAGGACTTTCTGTTTAAAAAGACAATCTCCTGTGGATAACAACCTACTTAAGTAGCCAAGCTTTTGCAATACATACAACACCCCAGTATGCCCCAGTGACAGGGGCTCAGATACTTGTTAAAGCTTTAACATCAACCAGGAATAGCTGCTGAATTGAAAGAATTGAAGTTTTTGTTAGTACAGACAATGTTCACAGGGCATTAAAAAAAACCACAATTCTGTAGGGGAAAGAGCTGCAAAGGCTATTAACTTGTTCTGCACTGTGCTCAGAGAGAGATGAGATACAAAATCCCACCAGCTCTGGAGGCAGGAAATTGTCACCTCTAATATTTTGGTTTCCCTCTCACCTTCTCCGTGTAGTAGAATTAAACACCTTTTAGTTGAGCAACTTCTTACCAATAATACAATCATTCTCACTCTGTCAACAAAACGGTGAAACAAGCACCACTCCCATACTAAGAATCCTGAACCTGCAATATTTTTTATGGGACTCCCCAACGGCACAGCCAAGGCAATCGCTCTTCCAGCTCCTCCTGATGGCAAACCATGAGCACAGCACCCTAACGAGGGAGTGGATGGGAGTGCTGATATAATCCTACGCCAAATACCACAAAAAACAAAACCTAAGCAGGGTTTGGTGAAAAACAATACCTAGGATCAGCAGAGGGGCAGATGCAAACGCACAGGAGACCTCCTCTGGGTCTGTGACAGAAATCTCCAGCTGAGCACTAGTCAAGACCAATGGTTCTGCTTTAAACTTACTGTCCAACTGGCTTAGTGAAGGAAAAACAGGGAATGACAGTTATAGAACAGAGGAGGGATGTCAACAGTGAGAGGGGATCAGGCTGACAGTCCCAGCAGACACAAGAGAGATTAAGGCAGCCAAGGACAGAATGTTTGAAAACAGCTGAAGATGCCGTGAGTGACTCCTATTTATATATTCATCAGCTCAAGAATTGATACAGCTGCCTGGGGTACCTTTCCTTTTAAGAACAAAAAAAAGAAAGGAGTCCAAAAGATCATAACAGAAGGAAAGTACATGGGAAGACAGAACACACAGATGCACTCTCTAGGTAACAAACATTACATTTATTTCTTAGAGAAACTACAGCAATATACATGATTACAGAATTATGAAGCACTGAAAAACCAGAGGCATGAAATGGTCTGGATCCAAGCACTGACGACATCACACCTTGTCTCTCATTGAGCCATCACTCAGAAAAATCGCATTATCTGAAAAGAAATGAAGAAAATTAATCTTGAGCATTGTTTTGCCTTGTTGCAAGCCTTCACACCATGAATCTCAGGTATTTGTGTTAAAATAGTTTGCTAAGATGTGGATTTTGGAACAGAATAATAGTTCATAAAACAAAACAGGGTTTTTTCTCTATGTCCCCTGAAAGCAGACAATTCAAGGTGATCATATGTACTGTGAAACAAGTGTGCTAAAGCTGATGAAAAGCTGCTGAACAGTCAAAGAAATTAGAAACATTTAAAAATAATGGTTTAATTCTTTAACTACAATCTCTATCAGTTACAGCTTTTGTCAAATTCAGTCTGCGCACTACCATGTCAACAGCCTATAGGACTACAGGAAGCTCCTACTTCATCAAGCCTAAGGAATTTCTAAAGCATCTTGAGACTGGGCCTTTTGAACAAGAAGCCATTAGGAGAATACTAATTTAAAAAGACAATTGATTCTCTCTTCCAGTAATTTATAGCACTGCTAGCTTTTAAAGAGGCTACAGAAGCATCCAGGAATATGACTGTTCTTTTTTCCTTTTTTCCCTTTTCCTCTGTCCTAGTTTTTTTAGGCATACTTGTGTAACAGAAATGTTTGCTCCACTATCCAATTATTTTTATCCCTCACTCAAAGGGAGCAGAGTAGCAGCTCTATCCACAATAAAGATGCAGGATACTCAGACTATTTTAAGGATCAAGGAAAAAGTTGAGTTTCCTAGTTTTCTTTGTTGTGCCAATCCAAGGCACAAGTCTACTCCTTATCCATTCTGTGGGGTAAGCAAATGACACCAACAGTTTGCAACTGTATACTCTCATTTTCTGTGTGTTCACAAGCAGTGTCAGAAGAAATCTGATACACACTATCCATTCTCTCAAAATCCCTGAGTGTGGATACTGAGGGTGAAGACAAACTAAGCTCCACTTCAGAGGTCCTCCACATCCTTTCCATTTTAAAAGGGGCAAAGGGCACCTTGGTGCTTTGCTCCTTACCTGCTATAATTGTTGTGGCCTGTCACCGCACATTGTTCTTATCTGTATATTCACCATAATCTATCTTCCCTTCAACAAAGATTTGAGAGCTGAGAAAAACCAAGAATTTGGTCAGAGAACCGTGCTGCTGTTTTCCACTCTGTAATCACAGAATGGTTTGGGTCGAAATGGGATCCTAAAGACCATTGTCTTTGTTTGAAAGACAGGTATTTGCTAAGGAAAGGCAAGAACCCCTTCTTCTGAGATGGAGAGTGCAACCCCCTCCCTTCTAATTATTATAGTTTCAAATCAGAGGCTTTCAGGCAGAAGATATGGGGATAGGAATAACAGTTCTTTATTGATATATCTAACAAGGCAAACCGCAGAAATAACAACAGCTATAAAAATTGACAACAAAACAGAACAGTGTAGCTCAGTTCCAGTCCCTTTTGGCCACAGGCCCTCTCTCCCTACGCTCAGTTCCCGGTGCTGGGGGCAGGGCAGGTCCTGCACAGTTGAAGAGGGCTGGGTGATGGCGGCAGCGGCCCAGAGGTGAGAGGGATGGAGGAGCGACTCCCCCCTCACGATGTCGGTCGTGGTGCTCGGCAGAGTGTCCGGAGGTAGTAGGATGAAGTGGGAAGGCAGCAGAGCGATGTCCAACGGCAGGGAATGTGGCTCCCGGCGGTAGGATGGCGGGGAAGATGCTAGGTAGGAGCCCTGGCCATCTTCCTTCAACTCTGCAAGCGAGCGAGAGAATGAGAGTGAGCCCAGGCCCCTGTCCCACCTTTCCTTTTCTGGTCTCCCCCTATCCCCCACCCCCCTGTGAGAGAAAACTATTGCTACTAAGGTGTAGCCACAAATACTTAGCATAACAATGGGAAAATTCCACAGAAAGAAAAGGGAACAATTCAACCTCCAACAACCATATATTCCAAACCTCTGGCCATGGGCAGGAATACCATCCACTACATCAGGCTGCTCAAAGCCCTATCCAGCCTGACTTTGAACACTTCCAGAAATGGAGCATCTACATCTCTGGGCAACCTGTGCCAGGGCCTCACTACCTTGACAGTTAGGCTTACATCCATACGTCCAACCCAAATTGTCCCTCTTTCACTTGGAGCCTGTGATTCCTTGTCTTATCACTACACTTCCTGATGAAAAGCCTGAATTCAGAGTCTGATTCAAAGAACATAGGCTTTTGTATCACTTGTTTGTAGCAGCTCTGCTAACCTGTTTTATGGCATTTGTATCTTACTACAGTTCCTGGACACCATAATTACTACAGTAATCTGTTATTAAGGCATTACATCCTCACCCACATTTGTCATTCACTTACCCCTTCATCACATAATGATAGGTGACATCCCTGAGGCCTGGTCTGAAGACAGATATCCTGTACCATGTTGTCTTCTTACTGATGTCACCTAAGGTACATAGAAGTAACACAGCTGGATGCCAAATCCTCTTCGTGATACAAGACTTAGAAATTAGTTTCAACACATTGGTATTTTCAAGTTATGAGACGTAATTGGAAAACAGAAGTATATTAGCACTCCATCTCCCACTTCAATCCAGAACTAAATGTTCCACTCATCCATGTCCAAACAAATTTTTGTGCAGAAGCACAGTTCAAACCAAGACATTGCTTTTTCTGTAAGACAGTGCTCATGCTATTAATTTTTTTCCCCTCAGACACTCCACACTGAATAGAATCTAGAGAATGAGACATCTGTAGATGCAAATTGATAACAGAATCAATGAGAAAATTGTCTTTATTTTTCTCATCCTGAAATACAAGTAAGAGTACAGAACCTGCTATGCCTCTGACAAACTCCACCAGTTACAAACTGCCCACACAACACACTCTCCTCTCCTCCTGAGGAAGGTCAACAGCAGATCTCTCTTCAGTACATGCTGCTGGAGATCAGTAAGAAACACACAAATGCACCAGCATCTCTGATGACCTCAAAGGAACCTTCCTTCACCCCAGAGATTTGCAAGTGTGGTGCTGCTGACCTTGCAGCCATGACCTGGAACATGCTGCTCATGGAGACTCACCTCCCTCGCCCACTTCACTATCTCCTGTCCACCACATCTCATTGATTGTGAGGGAAAATATGGTAATGGGATTTTTTCCTTCCACTTGCCTCATGATAGGGTCCTGTCCAACCCAATCAAGCAGCTGAAAACGATTCATGGCTGAAACAAGAGAGACCAAACACATATACAGGTGAAATACAATGCTTCTAAGCATGGCAAGCCATCAGTCAGCAGCTTTTCTCAAAGGCCAGAATCACAACTTTCTGCACCTCCTAAGCACTTTCTAAACTCGTGTGATATTTGACTTTTTCTAGTCCCAGCAGATGGTTGATTGTGCCTATACTGTCGTTATCACTGTGAAATAACTGATTTGAAAAGCCAAAGGTTCTTTATTCTTTCTGTTCCTTCTCTTTCACAGACACATCCATGTATCACTTGAGACTAATTTGCATTTACTTTTCTTGACTTTTATTTGTTTCATTATGATAAAACAAAATGCACAGCAGTACCTTTGAAACAAAGTTGCATTACTATGCTCTGTCCTCTGAATGAGAGAGTCAGTTTTTACACTGGTACCAGGCCTACGCAGACAGAGTCTATCCCTTCTCCGTGTTCAAGGACAACTGCAAGAGGTCAGAGAAGTATCCCTTGTGCACAATGAGTATGTGCAGTGAATAGTGAAGGCTGAAGTACACCTGGAGCAAATTCTCCCACCCAGAGATGCCTTCACAGCTCAATATACACTGGTCTGCCTATTTTCACAGATCTTTTAATCATCAATGCTCATTGCTAATTAGGGTTTAATGAATTCAAGGACTTCAGGAATACATTCTGAAATGAGCACAAGGCATTCTCACAGCACAGATTTATCTGGGCCAGCAGATCCTTCTCAACTTGTTGAGAAAGGATATCTTGCATGCTCTTGAGAGCATGGCTTACTCTTACTCAGTATTTAAAACAGAGAGCAATATGCCCAATGCAATCCTTTATTCAGTAATACAGAGACCACAGGCAAATTAAGAGATGCAAACAGTGTCCACCACATAAATGAGACCATCTTTAATCCCTGCTCCCTTTGGCATTTTTCCCCAGTTCCTCCTGACATCCACTGCATGGCATAGGATTTACCAGACGATGGAGTCAGTAAGAAAGGGGTCTCTCTGAGTCCTTCAGAGATAGATCAGAGTGCAGGGATTGAATTAAAGCCTTTGGATGGAATGAGTAAGTGAATAGATGGAGAAAGTAAGTAAATGGAATACATTTTAAGTGCTTTTAGTAAGTAAAAGGTCTTAGATGCCTGAGAAGTAGTATAAGTTCTAGTGAAGGTTGAAAAAACATACTAGTGTTTCCTTCAAGGCTCCAAGAACCTAGCTTCAGACATAACAGTTATAGTTAAGAATATTGCTTACATTTTTCAGTTAGAATAAGATAGGCCATGGACGTAGTTTATACGTAGTCTGGTGTGCTAAGAAACTAGAATTCTAATAGGTTAAGGAAGTAGTGGTCCGAGTTCGTGTCTTAGCTAGTTGGAAAGTTTCTGTAAAAGAGCATGCATTAGGGAGAGCTGGTGCTCTATGCCATGGCTTTATGCCATTGCATTTTGCCACTGCGTTTACCATTGCTTTTTGCCATTGCTTTGCTTTGTTTTGCCTTTGAGACTGATCTGCTTCTGCAATAAATAACTTTATAGCAACGATTAACTTGCTTGGCGTTTTAAAGAAGAAAACAACCTGACAGTGTGGGTGCCTAAGAGCACCCGGAGGACCAAAACCTCACACCAGACTTGCGTACATCATTTCCTGGCACAGAACACATCACCCACAGTATTCCCACCACGTGCCACCAGCTAGGTTAGACAGCAATGCCCTTTCATCCCTGAACTTTCTGTAGTATTTCGGAAGACTAAATCTTTCCCCCATTTTAGGCCTGACTCACTGGGCTCAATGCAGAACAGCTCTGCAGAGTGAGGAGGAAGGAGCTCTCCTCCTCCTCAGCTCGGGGGTTGGCAGCAGCAGCAGCCCTGAAATGCAGATCATTCTTGCCACTTTTTGTGGAGCGGTCAGTGAGAAAATAGCTAATGGCTGGTGAGGAAATCAAAAGAGAAGAGGCTATTCTCCACATTTTGCTCATCTCTGCCTTTTCACACTCATTTTAAAAAACCTGTTGGGCAGAGTGGGCCCAGAGAGCTGATTACAAAACAGTCTTTTTGGAAAGTATAATTAGGCAGGTATTCTGAGGTCTCCTATACACAGAGGAAGATATATCCCCCACCTTATTTAGCAAATACCTTCACATAAGATGTCCTTCTTCCCAAGTCGTTAATCTGTTTGAGCAGAACTACTGTTTTATTCTCAACAGAGAAGGACTCAGTGTTTGGAGCTGACAGGATACAGGTGCATTTGCCAACTGTGAGCAAGAACCAAGGCAAGAACAAGAAACAAGTTTGATCAGAGATGACATCAGTTTATCCTGCCACTGGCAAAATGAGACACTTCTCGGTGATTTTATTCTCTATTTGAATCTGAAATGGTGGAGGACTGGATTCTGAGGTCAAAAGATTCTCATGCAAAAGCTTGTGACCAGACAGCTGCATGGATGATCTCGACCAGGAAAGGCTAAAGGAGCAGATCTCTACCCTGCAGAAAAGGGACTCTCCTAAACTATGATGTTCCCTCTAAATAGCAGTAGAAAGGCTACAAATGCTTTTAGTGGAATACACAGCCTATGGCTACGTCCTAACAGAAGAAAACACAATTCCAAGACAGCATGCTAAGGGGGTCTGTGCCCCCAGGGATTATTTTCACTGTGTCTGACACATTTCCCAGGGATATTCAATTAGAGGGTCAATTCCGTAGGAGGTGTGAGCGTGCTTTCACGCTTTTCCCTGCCAATGGAAGCACCACATAGGAAAGCTGTAAAGTGACTGAAGACTCCTGCACTTCCTTCTACATACTGCCAGCAACTTTGTCTGTCTGTGATGTCTTGGTTTTGGTGCATATTCACATGCATTCATCTTCAGAAGAGGCTCTTTCACTACTAAAGTAAGGACCAAGTCAAGCCTTCCCTTCTGCTTCCAGTGATACTTCAATTAAGTAGACAAAACTTAACACTACAGAAACACACGGGAGACTTCCACAAGTCAGTATTCTGTTTAAAAATCCAACATCAATTCAAACAAACAAAAAAACAAACAAGACATCTTGTAGGGGACACCAAACACTTTTTAGATGACTGTTCCTGTGGTGTGAGGACCAAAACCTAATTCTGACAAGGACAGAGAAAAATTATTCTGTCTTTTAACTCTACACAGAGATCCCTTCTCTGCCTGTCCCATTTGTAGGAAAGGGGACAAATCCTAAAGTAAGATTTTAACTCAAAGACCACTTAAATCCACAATTTTCTCTCATTTGAATTACAAAAAAAAAAATCTCCAGCAATTTTTTCATAAAAGATCTTACAGCATGAGAACCAATGTCATGCTGGTCTGAAAGTAAGGAGTTACTCCAGGGCTGCCAAGCTTTGTCAAACATTGTAAGGGTGACCCGAAATTAAGTGCAAGATATCTCATTGCAACTTAAACCTAGATCCTTTTCTCCTTGAAAATGATTTGGTAAAATGACTTTACCAGTCTCAAATATAAGAACAACCAAGCAAATCAGTGAAGTCTGGCAGCTTTGGTGCTGATAAACCTTTGGTGGGTCAGACTGATGTGCAACTTGATCTTTAGATGATTGGGAATTGGAGAAGTGAAAAAATATCCCGTTTTTGTTTACAAGGCATTGCCTTTAAGGTGCTTGGTAGTGCAGATCTACACAGCTGGCTACTGTTACTCCACAGGAGCAACTCTGGCAGCCACTTGCATTCATTGTCCGTATGTGACAGTCTCATGCACTGGATCACATATCTATCATTTCTCTAGGAAAAGGGATCAAGATACTTACAAACACAGACTCAACAGAAGGGAGTAGCAAAAGCACTTCTCAACACATCATACCCAGAACCAGATGTTTCCAAATGCTTTAAGCCCAAATAGAGCTGGTTCCCAGGTAGCTGTGTCAGAGACACACTGGTGTCTCTGACAAGGCAAGTGTCAGAGAATGTTTGCAACCCTCTGGATCACTGGCAGTTTCTGCCTTTAGTCTCAGTGGCAAAATGTGAGTGGGTCAATCCTTCTTGGTGACTGGGACAACTCAGTTCAATAGCCAGCGCCAGCTTCTTCTCACACCCTTTGCTTTCTAAGAGAGCAGCGTCCCACGTGTTTAGATGCTACTCAAACCAATGGCTCACTTGTGGCTATAAGACAAAATAGATAAGCATGAAATCCTGTGCTTCCTTAGTTTTGAAGAAAACTGCCTAGGAAGGAACTTGGATAGGCTTCTTTTAAGGGGTTGAGTCATACAAATTAGGAGAGGTAACATATGCTAGTGTTCTAATACTAAAGCTGACAAAAACACAGCACGCACCAACTCAGATTAATGAGAATTAAAAGCTCCGGCATTTTGATCCCCTCTTGCCTTGTCTTTTAAGATGCCTGAATGCCAAGGGTGATACTCCTGAATGCAAATTTTTGATCACACTTGCACCTTTGACATGACATCTTTTCAGACTCATCTCTTCAGGCTAAGGCTGGCTTTCAAGGAAGAATCTTGTAAATTTTTTCATGTTACTGAGAGTAATGAAGGAACACTTTGATCAGAAAAAAAAGGTCTAGTGTTTTCATGGTTTGGAGGCAGATTTTGAAATGCAAGCAGGGTTTTCCTGAAGTCGTAGGTATGTATCTATGCAAATGTTTTCTATATATAGATGAACATACTCTTAAAATGTGATAGCACATACTGAAAGGAAACTGCTGTTCAATAGTTGTATGTTTTGGAAATTGCCCTTGGGGGGGGGCGGTACCACATGACACCACGGAGGTCACTTGGCCCCACTCCCCCCAGTCAGTTCTCCCCGATGGCAGAGGGCCAGTTCCTCTCAGTCCAGCTAGACTACACAAACATGATAGTGACTGACAGAAATACATGTTCATCAACTTTTAGGGAAGCAACTACAGCCCAATTTTTCAACAAGGCCAAAATCCAGCGTGGTCTACATCTACAATTGAATGCATCCTTTTAACATGGAATCATAGCTCTTCTTTTCCTGGTTATCTTTCTTCCACTCTTACAATCTTTCACAATGGGAGAGCAGCTCTGATGTTCGTAGACCTAACTTTAGATAATATCTTCAATCATGTCTTCATTTTTTACTGAAATCAACACTCAAAGTTACAGCTAAAGTCAACTAGGCTTCTGCTTTGGACATATTAAATAAGATACATATGTGCATAACTGTGCTAGGTACTTTGAGAAATAAAGTCCTAAACACATCAATTTGGGCATCTGACACACCAAACTGACACTAAATAATTTTGACCATCGCTGC